AACAGAGATTGTAGGGTGTCAAAAAAGAGTCTGTCTATGTAAGACATTCCGCATACGGTTTATTTAGGTGTGAAGTGGAATCGCAGCAATCAAGAAAAAGCAAATTATAAAAAATGGTAAGATATAAACATTTAAAATAGCTCCAGATGGATCCTAGGAGTAGGAAGAAGAAATCATCCTCATGCCACCAAAGAGGAGGAAGAAACCCCTGTCATCAACATCAAATCTTCCCCTCTGAAGGACTTGGGATGATGAGAGCTTGCTGTCAGGCTCCTCCTCCTCCTGCAGTTGAATATAACCTAACAACCGTAGAACTCAGAAGGGTAGTGGAAGGTTAAGCCTTAACACTGAGGAATGGCTAGATATTAGGAGTTGTCTGTACCGCAGTTTTAACTCTGTTATTATTAAGAAGTTATTCTCCAGTGTTATTTGGTTTTCTTTTGCCTTTAATGACTAGATTTGAACCCTTTGATTAGATGGTTAGGATATTAGTTACATTGGCAATAAATTCTGGACTTAGCTCATTAGGAGTATTTTCTTCTGCCCAAAAAAGATTCCGAGCATATCAACATGTCACTGTTATATAAGATGTTAAGAATATTTGTTGTACCAAATAAAAAATAACTCCAACCACTACTTACATGTAATGACATGGTTAAGAAGGAAGTGAAATAACATTTCTCTGACAATTTCAGTATTTTTCTGTCATGTTTCAATAGCATTTGCAGCACTGACTTCCAAACAAAAGTTTGAGTCTATGAATTCAAGGCCGGGTTGGACAGAGACTTTGCCGACATGGTCTAGTGTGAGGCATCCCTGCCCATGCCAGGGGGGCTGGAACTGGATGATCTTAAGGTCCTTTTCAACCCAAGCCACTCTATTATTCTTTGAATTCCCAGTGATAGTGGTTGTTTGCACATTTCTTACCATGTGAACAAAAGAAAAACCACTAGTACTTGTAACTAAAATCTTCGTGTACTCAAAGGCTTTCTGGGAACTCGCTGCACCAAAGTTACATCTTGAGGGATGTAGCGGCACAGCTAGCAATGGCATTTAATGAATTAGTGGGTATAGGAAGCAGAATATAGCTGTATTGCACAGGGCTAAACCAGCTTAACATCCTGTTCATTAATTTACTGCAAGCTGCATATATCTATGTTAGGTACTAATAAATTGAACACCAGACCTAACTTCCTTTTACTGTAGGGGGTAAAGATACCTTTCAATCTTTGGAGCACAGTTTAGGAAGGGAAGTAATGCACTGGTTGAAAACGTTACTATTTAAGACTGTGTAGACAAACATCTTTCATTCTGTGGCAAAAACTGCTCACTAAAGGTTTAGTGAGTAGCCTAATTAGAAAGGTAACAGCCTTCAGTGAAATCCACTGAATCCTCAGGGCTTATTCTGTCAAGAACTGGAATAACATGGATCAATCTTTATGATTCCATAAAATCAGATCCTGAACCTGATGCTTCTGATATGTCCAGACTGAAATTAGCTACCAGGTTTTTCTTATTTTTAAATCGTGAAGGGAAAAATAGACTGACCTATGTGATACTACAGCGTGACAACAATTTTCATATATATATTATAGATATACTAACATATATATACCTATGGAAGAAAAAAAAAAAACAATAAAACCCCAAAATGTTTATTTTGGTTTTATGGCATAGTTATATTGACTGACACAATAATAACAAGCATAATTAAAGCCACTTCTGTTATCAGTGGGCCTGTCTGTTTTCCTCACTAATTGCAATGCATATATACAATAAAATATTATATACTTGTGTTTCTTTTTTCTCATGAGTTATTACTGGATCAGGTTGTTTCCTATTTAACACCTGTAATAGAATAAATTATCAAACTCTAACATTAAGCTGGCATTCTACCAAGTTGAACATACTTGTATAGAAGGAAATTTAGTTATGAAACTAAAAAGATTTTACTTAAGGGTCCATGCAGCTATTACGACAGTTTAGGGTTTGAGTTGTATAGGTATGCACATGAGAAAACAGATTCAGGCTGTGAGATTTTATATTGAAGACTATTGCATAGATAAAATATTTTTTTCAAATAATGTCTTTTAATCCTATTTTGAATTACTTGCCACAATTTTGAAACTTCCTCCCAACAAAATATTTTATTTCATCCTTAAGCAATGTTATGAAAAGAACATGTTGGAGACCCTGGCTTGTCTTTGTGGGCCAGTTATATCTCTTTGGTCATGTAACTGGAGTTACTGAGAAGCTCCTATTGCTCTGGAGAGCAAGGAAGATATCCAGTGTCTGTGTAATGGTCTAATGGAGACTGTCATTTTGTTTCTGACTGTTTAAGGAGTCTTGTTCCCTAACAAGCCACATGCGTAGCTGTTGCACAGAAACTGTTGGTTTTCCGCTGTGCAGTTGGCAGACTCTGGGGAGGCACTGCAGAATCCATAGCACTATGTACCAGACAATTATTATATGGCATGCTGCTACAGGCTCCTCGGATACATCACAAGGTAATTTGTGTTAATGAATGTCAGAATTGTAGATGCTCTGCTGCTGAGCATTTTAGACCACATGTAGAGAATTCCAACAACTGGCATGCATTTATCTCCCTTGTCAACTAACAGTGTTATATTCTAAGCTATACTTAATACTTTTTTCTTACATTCATGCATAGGTGTGAACCACACACTGCGTCTAATCAGAAGTACAGCTAACAGGGAAAGCATCAAATTCTACCCTATGTACCATTTCCTAATATGTTTGACTCAATTAATTTGCCAAGAATAATAATTTGATAATTCCTGGGATAAAGTAAGTGTCCTTTGTCCCTCTGACAACGGCAGACCAGGTGAAATCCAAACAATGGCTTGTAATGACAAATTTAATAATAATTAGTACATAACAGAAATAATATTGTTCGGACACCTTGTCCACAGGGTAATTGCAAACCAGTAACTGTCTCTTTCTAACACTTCTCTGGTGTGCCATTGAAGGGTTTGCCCACCTTGCTCTATATAAAGAAATCCTTCAATACGGAGGAATTTGTTAACTATTGAGTTTGTAAAGGTGTTTTTCCTTACAGGTTTTATTCAAAATCTAATTCATTCTTCTATGTCAATAGCTTTCAATCTGCAGTCTTCAAGGGTTCATGAACTAGCTCTCATAGATACATGAAATGCAATTTTAAAAAATAAGCCTGTGTGCATGAGGCTTGGATTTGCAATACAGCATCTGTACCATCACTGACTAGTTCACTTTGCAGACTTAAAAAAAACCCCTAGCTTGCTGCAAAGGTGTGTAGATATGTGCTTTCCCAGTCTCCAAAAGTTCAAATAATGAATGAGATAATAAAGTATGTATTTAGTAGGCATTCTAAATTGCAAGGGGGTTACTAATCAGCAACTCAAGATATTTAATCTCACTGTAAAAGAACTACATTAGAATTGCTCAATACTAAAAGCAGGAAGTTGTCATTTATTTTCCTTTATACTCTAATATATTCTGTAGGAGTGACAAAGAAAGTATTTCTAATAGGTTCTCCATAAACACATACTAGAAGTTATTTTCTGAAGAATGCCCCCCTTTAACCATGTAGTATATGTTAATGCTGCCATTTCACATTTGCTCTACATAGTCTGCAAACATCTGTATACTGCAAGTATAAGGTCTAGTTCCAGACTGAATTATATTATATTATTTCAATTTTACAGAAGGAGACCACACAAAGGATGATTAAGTGACTTGCCAAAAATTCACACTACAGAACAGCAAACTGAACTGCAGTGGTAAGTTCTATAAGTGCTAACTTTATAAAACATGCTGTAAGTGTCCATCGTCAAATGCACCTGAAAAGCCTGAGCATTCATGATGATTGATTGCATTAAACCCTGCCTGCTGTGGTCACAGTGGAGTTCTCTGATTTATATCACTTTAGGACCTGCTCTGAGTTCTAGAAAGTGTCTAGTAGAAGCATCAGCTTATGAACATCATTTTTTTCTGGAGAAAAGCATCATGAAAGTACTTTACAAAATTATCTATTTCTGAATAGTGGAGTGAGGTAAGATTTTAAACTTCATATTTGGAGAAATATGCCAGAAATTTCAGGTCTATAGAATAGAAAAGTCTGGTTTCTGAACTCATTTCATTATGATTTTTCAAAAAGGTAATGCTAATTCAATCAAAACATTTCAATAATACCAGTAATTTTTTACTATTGTTTTTCATGTACATTCTTTGTAAAGGAGATGCTATTGAATTAAAATTATGTTAAAAGTCTTAATGCTCCTAATGATGTCAAAAGACAAATAAGTTTTTACTGAATTAGAGTTGTCAAAATCAGCACATTTGTATAGAATGTTTTTATTTTGGTGAAATGATGTCTTCTGACAAGAAAATATTCCTTTTGACCAGCTTGGATTACTTCAGACTGTACCTACTGTGAAGCCAAGACATTAAGGAATACTTTCAGACTTTTCTTAGTATTTGACATAGCAAATATAAGTTATTAAACGCTAAGGCAAAGCTAAAGCTTGTGCTGTGGAGGCATTGCCCAACTGGTATTGTGTTTTCAGTGCTGCTAGCTTTGATAGCTTCTGAGACTGCTTCTCAGCTTCTGTTCTTGCTGTCATGCATATCACCAGCAGATGTAACGTTAGTGCCATAGGCACAGGCCAGATAATCCTGAATTTGGAAAGCAACGAATGTCATGTATATATTTTACAGCCTAACATAATGTGGCCTGTTTGGGGAGCCAAAAATACGCAATTACATCATTTCTGTTGATGTCTTACAATAAAGTTGCCAGCCAGATGATAGCAGTGAGGTAAGGGAGGCAGGATGCTGTGCAGAACGTATGTGTGCTGTAGTGACGACCCACAACATAAACTACAGATGAAGCCCAAAGGAACACTAAAAAACTCTACAAAGAAAACATGTGAAGTCAGTGATATTAATGCATAACTGAAAAATTAACAATAACTTTATGCATCCTGTCAATCTTCCAGCAGCATAAAGAAGGCAAAGAATTGCCTGAAGACAAAGAGTGGAATAATCTTTTTCCTTTAGAGGAATTCCAAGCTGGCACCAGTGGATGTGAATTCAAAAAAATACGGAGGATGTTTTGAAATACCAAGCTACGTATTTTCTGGATGAAGGTATTGTCTCATTGAGCCTTGCCACCTTCTCCTTAGTCTTTTCAGCACATTTTTGTCCTTATCAGCACATTTTTGTCCTTTGTCTTCCATATATCATATCATATATCATTCCTTTCCTGCTTCTCAGCCTTCTTCCCCATCCGCTTCCTATGTTTCCAGTTTTCTCTCACAAGGCCAGTCCCATCACCCCACTGCTTACCTGCTGTTTTTTGTACTTCACATTTGAAATATTAACCAAAATATGTAAGGTGATTGACCTATACTAAATTGCTCTATTCCTTGTGTCTTATAGATTCATACATAGCTAATTAAAAGATTCTTAACAGGCTACTTTCAAGTCAAGACCATATTTAAACTGGTGCAGAAATTTTACTTTCACAGCCCACATCTTGACATGTTGGATCCTCTCTTGGCATCAAGGATAAATTTAAATGACTATTTTTAGGGAATATTTTTGGTTCTTTATACTGCCAATCATAGTTTTGATTCTTGAGTTGAATAAAATTGGGTAGCATAGTGATATCACATAAGTGATAGAGAGATAGCTGTTGACTGAATGACATCGTGATTCTATATCTTACCTAACTTAAAATACATTGAACACTCGATGACAATGTTGACAATGGTAACAACTCATTAGCAGTAGCATTGTTAGTTGCCTCAGGGATATTTTGCAATGGGTGGGAGGGAATTATAAGGTATGGAAAGAAAACTAGTTGAGGAGGCAATTGTTCTGAGATGTCTTCTAAGCTCTGAAAAATATGAAGAATTCTCTGAGTTGCATGTATTGGGTCAGATATAAACTTCCTTCTTTTAAGAGCTGTATTTTCCATCTCACTAACAGTAGCACAAGATGAAAGATTAGTAGGCACGTTGGCTTGTACCAGAGCCCAGAATACAAGCTTGTTTTAAAAACCAAAAAATATGAAAGATAAGATGGTATCAGGCCAATAAAAGTTATAAAAGAAAATCTAAAATTCAATAGTACAAAATAGCAGTTCTCCATCTTAATGAGATAAAGTCAATGCATGCATGTTGGCACAAAGTAACTTGCTACTCCTCTGCTATCAGATTGTATTTTAGGTCTGTGATTCAGGAAATAAAAGTTTTTTAAACTTATAATTTTGATATTCAAAACTTCTCTAAAAGAAATTAATTTCTTCTTACCTGTATGAATCACAGTGAGGGAAGTGGTATATTACACATTTCAAATAGATGCTAGGATTCACATGTTATTACAGAACTACTAATGCTATGCTCTTTTGGTTAATGATATTAACCAAGGCTACTCTCCATCATATTTAAAAAATCATGGGAGTCAGGTGAAGTTCCCAATGGCCGAAAAAAAAGTAATATAACCCCCATTTTCAAGAAGTGGAAAATGGATGACCCAGAGAATTACAGACCAGTCAGTCTCACCTCTGTGCCTGGCAAAATCTTGGAGCAGATTCTCCTGGAAGGCATGCTAAGACACATGAAAATCAACAAGGTGTTTGGTGACAGCCAGCATGGCTTCACTAAGGGGAAATCCAGCCTGATCTATTTGGCCGCCTTCTATGATGGGGCTAAGGAACTGATGGACAGCGGTAAAGCAGTTGATGTCATCTACCTGGACTTGTGTGAAGCATTCAACACCATCCTGCATGACATCCTTGTCTCTAAATTTGATAGGTGGACCACTTGGTGGGTAAAGAACTGGTTGGATGGCCGCATGCAAAGAGTTGTGGTCAATGGCTCAATGTCCAGCAGGAGACCAGCAACGAATGGTGTCCCTCAGGGGTCGGTGTTGGGACCGGTTTTGTTCAACATCTTCGCCACTGACATGGACAGTGGGATTGAGTGCACCCTCATCGCAAGTTTGCCGATGACACCAAGCTGTGTGGTTCAGTTGATATGTTGGAGGGAAGGAATGCCATCCAGAGGGACCTTGACACGCTTGTGAGGTGGGCTGATGCCAACCTCATGAAGTTTAACCATGACAAGTGCAAGGTCCTACACCCGGGTCAGAGCAATCCCAGGCACAGCTACAGGTTGAGCAGAGAAGAGATTCAGAGCAGCCCTGCGGAGAAGGAGTTCGGGGTGTTGGTCAATGAGAAAATGAACATGAGCCGGCTTCAGTGTGCGCTCAAAGCCCAGAAAGCCAACAGTACCCTGGGCTGCATCAAAAGGAGCATGACCAGCAGGTCAAAGGAGGTGGTCCTGCCCTTCTGCTCTGCTCTCATGAGACCTCACCTGGAGTATTGTGTGCAGTTCTGGTGTCCTCAACATAAAAAGGACATGGAACTATTGGAACAAGTCCAGAGGAGGGCCCTGAGGATGAACAGGGGCTGGAGCATCTCCCATATGAAGACAGGCTGAGAAAGTTGGGGCTGTTCAGCCTGGAAAAGAGAAGGCTGCGTGGAGACCTCATAGCAGCCTTCCTTTATCTGAAGGGGGGCTATAAGGACACTGGGGAGAGACTGTAGTGATAGGACAGTTTAGATTGGATATAAGGAAGAAGTTCTCTACTGTAAGTGTGGTGAGGCACTGGAATGGGTTGCCCAGTGAGGTTGTGAATGCTCCATCCCTGGCGGTGTTCAAGCCCAGGTTGGACAGAGCCTTGGGTGGCATGGTTTAGTGTGAGATGTCCCTGCCCATGGTAGGCGGGTTAGAACTAGATGATCTTACGGTCCTTTCCAACCCTAACTATTCTATGATTCTGTATCATCTGAACTTGGCAATGGTTAAGAACAAAGTAATATTCTTTTCCTCATTCATTACCATATGAATAATAACCACATATTTGATTACATTATAAGCTATATGCTCAAACTTGCCAGGTATACAAAAAAGCATAGAAAAGCTTTTTGAATGTAAATAAGGTGTAAAAGAAAGGTCTGTTTAACAAAAAAAAATACTTTATTCATAAGTTCTGACATTTTCTGTTGAAGGAAAGAAAAACCAACCTCCTGCTCATAAAATGAAAAAGAAAAAAATATGAAGGAGTCTTAATATCTGATCAAGGAAAATAAGACAGAAGCAGATGTCCTTCTTTATCATTTATAATATCTTATTCCTTATTTTTCATTTTAGGGCAGTACAGAAGGATATTGCACTCCGGAAAATTTTGTTAGCTCATGGTAAGTAGTGGACCTGTAGGTTCACTGGTATTGCTTTGGAGTTATTTCTTAGTGTTTTTCTCAAATGAGTCTAGATAGATGTAGTAGTTTGTATCTGATTTTCTGTACTTATTATGCAAATTATTATTAGATCTCCTAAAACAGAGGAGGGAGAAATCCTGAGAGCTACACAAGGCCATAGCTTCTTGATAAACTGTTCACTTGGTATGTAAGCTTTTAGGACATTCATCTCACTTTGTCTGCAGTTTTCAGAGAGGCAATATCATGGTATGGTGTCAAGGGAAAAAAAAACACCACCAAAATGTGAGACTTTAAACAACAGAAAAAGACCCCTCACAACTGGAAAGTTCTGGGAAACAGCTGAAACCCTTTAGCTGGTGGTGATTTTTAAAAGGATGTTCAGTTATCCTTTAGTGTCCATTAGTAACAGCAACAGTGTTTTCATGATCTGGACCCTGTATTGTCACTCTCCATCTCACTATTTAAACTACAAACTGTTAGAGTTTGTAAGAATTAAAAAATGAAGATTCTCTAAATGTGTTTAGTGTATCAGATTACTTGTGGTGGTTTTGCAGGTGGCAGCAAATTAGCTACTGATGGGGGATTTAAAGACTTAAGTTTTCTGTGGGGCAGATGAGAAACAAGGCTAAGAAGATCTACCATGTTTGAAGAAGATTATTGCATTATTTAAGACCTTTCTGGTATCGCTGTAAAAGAAATATATTTGACAAGGACTCGCTGGCTATAGTGATATTTTAACTGGAAAGGAACACCGTAACATGTCTTTCATAGAAAATACACATCAAGCTCTGTCATCTGTCATTTCTGTATGCAATATTTATATTGCATGTCTCATTATAGCATCTAAGTACTGTTCAAGAATTGAAATGCAACTTATTTCTAAACCAGGAACATTTTGACAACACAAGTATCAGTTTACCATCTCAACAAAGCCAGATGACAAAACAATGTTATCGGAATCTATATAATCAAGTCCATGCATCATAATGAAAATCCTTAAAATGGATTTTATAGATATTAAGAACTTGTGTAGTGGTAGAAGTCCAGTATATACTTGTTTGCTGCTTCTTTTGAAGAGTTATAACAGAATTTAAAAATGGAAATGTTTTGAGATTTATAAATACTCTCAGCTAACAGGCAAACAGTATTATATCTTGCATTTCACCTGTCCTTCCTGGATTTTACTATGTATATCCAAGTTTTCATCCAACCCCATCTCTCTGATATGCTCACTGGCATTCTCAGTGGCCGGAAATGTATAAGGAGCTATACTGCAAACCACTTATCTTAGTTTCAAAACTTTACATGTGCATTTTCTGAACTAAGAGTTGTGATAGCACTGAACCCTGAGAGATCTTCTTTGTTTTTGGGATGACGTGCTTAGGGTACAAAAGTTGACTATCATTAATTTTTAGGACTATTTTGAAAGGAATGATTGATGGCAAGCTCAACATCAGCCAGAAAACATTATGTATGCCAAGTTCAGCAATATCCTACATGGATGTCTGGTTTTTTTGCTCCAAGGTCACACTAGTAGCCAGTCTTCTTCAGATGATGGACAGAGTCGAGCTACCAAACCATAACGGTATCAGACAAAAGTCTGAAGCCAGCCTGAAAAAGGCAAAGATTTTCTCTAGAAGCTACATATTGTTGTTAAGAGGCCAATATTATCACTCAAGGAGTTCAAATAATAAAAAGTTTATAGAGTTAGGTGGGTTAAGAGCAGGATAATCTTTTGCATGTCTTAAGAATGTGAGGACTCTGACAGGGTTCTGGAAGGCCAAGGGGCAGAGAAGACCTGGCTAACCTTCTAGGATGACTTCCACAAACCACAAGCATGGTTGATTCCATAGTGCATGT